TTCAGTTCTTTTGTTTTATTTGTTTGAAGTTACGAGTTATACGCGTATTTATTCGTCTCTACAATGTTTTTTAGTTCAGTAAATGTTATCCATCGAAATATATGTATTATAGTTTGAAATGTTTGATTTATTTTTTTTTTTTTTGAAATAGTTTCTTCGAAATAATAGATCGTCATTTTTATCACCCAATTAACGATTACAATCGAACCTAATGAATTATATGAAACACGAGATATCTCTCGTGATCTGTCGAATGAGTCAGTTAATCAGAATAACAACTCGTAAGTTTTCATCTAAATACAAAGGACAATTTTCTCAGTATTAATTAAAAAATGCATACTTCAAATTTTAATATATATATATATAAAAATTACGTCACGTCACGCTATTTGTCCGCAATGGATTCCTAAACTACTGAACCGATTTTAATCAAATTTTGTACACTGTGTGCAGTTTCATTCAACTTGAAAGATAAGATAGTTTATATTTCAATTTATAATCGCAATGATTATAAATTGACTTAAAGACGTGTGTATCGGACTGATTGTGAACCAAAGTAACGCGTAACGGGGCACCCCTTAGTAATTAAATATAAACAATAATAAATATGAATTACATAGAGAGAAAAAAGTAAAAAATAAAAAATCATCATTGTTATCATTTATCATTGATAAAAATCCAAAAGTGAAGTTTTAATAAATAATAATACGAAACGCGATATTATCTCGTGATCTGTCTGCAATGCGTTGACCTCGGTATATATGCACTAGGCATTATGAAAGGCTCGCATTAAATTTATTAAGACACCGATGTTCCGGTACTAGTATGACGACCCTACGATATTATTATTATTATTATTATTATTATTATTATTATTATTATTATTATTATCCCTAGCGCGTTACCCAGCTAGCTTTTTAACGATTGATTGGATAATGATGCAAAGGCGTGGTATATTTATTTCGTAATAGAAACCTCGTGTTCTCTCTCTCTCTCTCTTTCTTTCTTTCTTTCTTTCTTTCTAACTCATTCACTCATCCAAGAGGATCTTTCGTATTACGTCTACATAAATATATGCACTTGTATGCGTAACTATAATATTTTTTTACTTGCTTGTTTGTTTGTTTGTTTGTTTGTTAGTAACATCTGTTAGATACTTCTGTCGGATTGTCGTAGTTCGTAATTGACTTTACGATCGTTGCTTACGTACCATCATCGATTTATACGTTCGTCAAGTTACCTATATGAATAACAACTAATTTACATATTACATTATTGGGTATTTCGAACTGGCTAACTTATCGTTAGCTTATTTTCCAAAATGGAACTTTAGTCTCCCTCCCAAGCCCAAGCACTTTTTAAATTGCATTACCATAAGTTGTCCATTACCATTTCATACATTTTTTCCTAATAAATATTATCGACATAATATATTAAAGTGTTAAAGCTTTTCATGATGAAATTTTCCTACATAAATTTTACTTTGATTTTTATTCATTTCAATTTCATGATTTATTTCTAATTCAGTATATATGTCATTTCTAAATGTTACTACTAATATATGTTACAAAATAATTGTATGTAATAGATGTTAATACAAATACAGTATAATCTTACTAATCCAGCACTTCAATACGTCCAATAATCCGGCACCCCTCCCCCCAACCTCACCCCTCTACGCCTAATAATATTTATTAGGCAAAATTTGTAGAAAAATTTATTAGAAAATATTTCATATCTTCTTTATAATCCAGTAAATTCGAACATTCCAATAATCCGACACCCTCTTCTGATTTTTAATAGTGAGATTGTACTGTAAATTTAATTTCAATTTATTACTCAGAAAATTGCAGGAACCTAGAATACGAAATTTGTCACGCTCAGTTTTAAAAGTCAAGTTTTACACTTACATTAAATAGTGCCATAATTATAGGACAATAAATAAAACTTTCACGTTATATAATTAAATTATAGGACCCGAAAAAACAATTGAATTACAGAGAGTAAAATGAAATTCTAATTTAAAGGTTTTAAAACAAAGAGAGAGAGAGAGAGAGACAGAGAGAGAGAGAGAGAGAGAGAGAGAGAAAGCTTTTTGTAAGAACGAAAAGATAGTTTCATTGTTCTAATATTACAAGAGTCGTTAATTTACAAACGTATCGAATTAACCTACAAAGTTTAACGGGTCGTATGGGTCAACCCTATAAAACCATACTTGCCAATCCGATCCGATCCGATCCGATCGATATTAACAATACTCTATAAATCGAATTAGTTGTCAGTATATGGGGGTATCATAAAAATGAAGCAGCTTGCCACACCAAAGAGCGTTTGGAGTAATTATCCAATTACTGTATACTCGCACGCTGCCGTTAGTCGCAGTCTAATAATTGCATCGTACTTATACAGATACGATCAAAACGAATCGACCTTCGTGTGAATAATCACATGTGTGTAAAATCATCTGTGTATGTGTGTTACGTTTTTAGATGATGTATCAGTGAAAAAGATCGGTAAGACCAATTTTAGAAAGAACAACAACAACAACAACAAGAAAAAGTAAGAAGAGATTTTTTTTCCATATATATATATATATATATATATA